GGGCGCGGCGGGGGAAGCCGCGGGCGGGGGCGGCGGGAAGGGGGGGCGGCAGCGGAAAGCTGCGCGACAGCGGCTGCCGCCGATGAGGCTGCCGCGCACACGTGCGACAATTGAATGGGCAGATCGCCGCGGTAAAGCGTGCCATTCGCCGCGGGCGCGGGGCGGGGGCGCGCGCGGAACTGCCGGGGGGGGGGGGCTGCGGGCAAATCGGTTCGCGCGCGAACGCGAAGGGCCGTCGCCTCGACTTGGGCGGCGCGAGCAACGACGCTCAACTTGCCCGCCAATTTTGCCGCGACTATGCGGGCGACATGGATTTCCATATGTTCTAACTGCTCCTTCAATTTCTCAACTTTCATCCGGACAACGCAACGGCCCTGTTGCGCCCGCCGGAATCAAACGGACTCGCGCGTCTCGATCGCCGCCCGACGCGCGCCGCGTTCTTTGGCCAATTCTTCAACTTGTACGCGAAAGAAAACGTGATTCGGCGGGGTGCCGCGCTGAAAATAAACACTTGACGGACTCGCAAAAAGAAAGCGCGGGTACTTGCGCCGGGCAGCCACGGCGCGCGGGAACGAGGCACCTGCATTTGTTTGGTCTGCCGGGCAGCCTGTCGCGGCGACGGGCGAAGCCGACGCCGATGGAAGTCGCCGACGACGGGGCGCGACTGGGGCGGGGTGACACGGAAGGGCGGCGGGCAACGGGCGGACGGCCGAGTGGGCGACGAAGAAGCGGGCCGGACGCGGCGAAGGAGCGCGCGGGGCGGGCGCGCGGGGCGAAGGGGCGCGGCCCCGGCAGAACGCGGCGGCCGAGGGGGGGCCCGACATCGCCCCAAGAGGGCCCGCGGGCCACTGGGCGCCCAGAGGCCTCCAAGAAGGGCCAGCAACGGCTTAGGAGAAACCCGAGACGGCCTCAGATGGCCCCGTAGAAGCTACAAGAGAGGGCCCCAGTCGGCCCGAGCCAGGCCCCAACGGGGCGGCCCCCCGGATGCCCCGCAGGGCTGTCACGGGGCCCTCTCGGGCCGCATGGGGCCCTCTCGTGGAACGTCTGCGGGGCCGCCGGAGGCGGTCTCGAGCCTCTCTCGGTCCGTCGCGGGCCCTTCTGCAAGGCTCACGCGCGCCCTTTGGGCCATCTTGGAAGGATATCGGGGCCTCGTCGGTCGCGCAGGGCCTGGGGCGAAGGGGGGCTTGCCCGGCGGGGCAACGCGGCAAACGTCCGGGCGGGAGTTGGCCGCAGAAAGCAAGGAAGATGAGCGCCCGACGAAGATGCGACATGCTCTGGCCCAGAGCCGAGAATGGGGCACCCTGGTAATGGGGCGAGCCCGCTGGACTCGCGCGCCCCGCAGCGGTCAGTAGTCTGTGTTCCTTGGTCCGCAATTCGCATAGCAATGACGCTGCAGTCGGCGTCGTTCGTCGGTTGCGCGCCGTCGCGGCGAGCCACCGCCCGCGGGGAATGATCCAAAGGCTACAGATATTGGGGGGGGGGGGGGGGGGCGGCGCGGCAACGGGGGGCGGCGCGATCATCGCGAGCGCGCTAAACAGATTGAACGCAGATTCACCGCAGAGACACGTGGACACATGGCGCGCGCGCGGGCGCGATGTTTGCATCGCCGCCATTTGACATGGAGCTCGCCACATAAATGACGAAGGCGCCCCCGGAAACCTCGACGTCGCCACCGTTGGTCGGCCAAGCCCCATGCTGAGATTGCGCCCTGGAGCCGAAGGTGGCGTTCCAGCCCGTTCGGGGCTGGGCGCTCACAAGTGTTGATGAGGCGGATCCAAGGAGAGCTTTGCTGCGACGTCAACTGCCGCGAACAGCGCAGGCGCTCTGGCTGGGGGCCGCGGTTGGGCGGGGGCTGGGGCGAGGGGGTTCGGCGGCGTAAAACCCGACAAAAACCAAAACTTACACTTTGCCTACGAAGCTGGGATAGGGCAACCGCGGGGGCACGGGGCAAGCTGGCTCACGCCCGCGGGCCCGGGGCCCCCGAAAGTGCCCCGAGAGGCCGAGGGCCCCCCAACCCCCCCCCCCAAGACGCCCCCAAGAGACACCCAAGACGCCCCACGCAAGTGACCCCGGAAGGGGCGCGAATCATCCCCCCTGCGGAACAGACGCTCCAGAGGCCAGGAGGCCCCCGCGACGCGGTTCTAAGAAGTTCTCAACGCAGACATTCAAACAGATTCCAGGCCGAGATTCATCGCGGAATCCAGGAGGCCGCTGGCCGTTCTGAACGCCCTCCTCGCCCCCCATCACTTGTTCATCCCCCTGCATGTTCTCCTCCCTCCGCCCCCATCATTCTCCCCCCTTCCACCCCCTTCTCCTCCAGCTCGTCCTCGCTCGCTCGCTCGCGCTGCCTCGGCGGCCCCGCGCCCGCGCACCGCGCGACCGCGCGCGGCGCCAGGGGCCGCCTGCGCACGCGGCCACGGCCACAGTAATCCTGTAGACCACGTCCGCGCCCGCCGCGCCCCGATGGGGCAGCCCTGACCCCGGCGACGAAAAGGGGGGGGGACAATCGTGTAATAAAGGGAGGAGGGCAGGCGTCGCCATCGGCCTCGGGGCGGAGGAGTGCAACCGGATACATCGTAGGTTCCCCCCCTGTTGAGACTAGCTAGTCCTCAGAGGACCTAATGAAACGCCTTGCCGGGCAGGTAAAAGAAGCACAAGTAGTACGTAAGGAAGATGACTTCGCAGCTGTAGCTCTGTTCTGCAACTGCTCTGGTTGACTTCAATCGGCGCGCCAGCGCTTCGTGCCCCGCGTAGGCAAGCGCGGCGAATCTTCGTAAATTGTCACCGGTTGCGGGTACTTGGTGTCGCCTGTAGCAGGTATTGTTGGGGTCTCCTGGAAATCGCTGTATTGGTTGATGGAAAATGGCCAGAGTAGCAGGGCACCCCCTTTCTTGGTAGGGTTGTAAACGAAATTCTCGCCGTTCTTGAAGATGGTTTTCTGGTGAAGCGGGTCGTAGAGCTCCATCTTGGTAAACATCTCAGTGGGGTACTGCTGGATTACTGGTCCACGCATGAATAGAGACGCACCCGTCTTCAAGTCGCCAACGTTGGGCCTCGGGTAAGGTAACTGTGGCATCCACGTGTTGTCAACACTGGGAATGTATACCTGAAAGATCGTCGTGCCCGTTTATTCTTCGGTTTTGGCGATCAGGTAGCTGGAGCGCGTAAGCCAACTGTTGCGGTGAAGTGGCGTAGAGTTCTGCCAATGCGGACCTGCGCCCTCGCGCTCGCAAGGTATTGGCAAGTAGTAACTTTCTGGACAGATATATTGTTATGCTTGAAAGTCTCTGGACTCAGCATGCTTGTAGCAATGGTTGGAGGCCGCCTGGATGTCGGAGACGTAGAAACCGTGGGCGCCGTTCGGGTTCTGCGACATCTTGGCGAATACTTGCGTCCAGCAGTAAAATGTGAGCGGGTAAATGTCCTGGTCGCATACTCCGATCTGACCGTGGGGCCCCTCAGTGTACGACGTCGCTGTTTCGTCGGGACCCGTCGTCTCGTGCCTCGGGTGGTAGTTGGCGTGGCGCGACATGTCGAGGTAGACGGCAACGCCCAGGCAACGGAAGGCGCAAGCCGAAAGCTTGAGCCGCAGGCTATGAACGAGATGCACAGCATGCATACCTCGAGCGCACCGTAGCGTAACTGCCACCATCATGGGGCACAGAGCACAACAGATAGCGTCACAGCATAGCAGATAGCGTCGGTGACCAAGTGTTCCTCCTCTTCCTCTTCCTCCTCCTCCTCCTCCTCCCCCTTCTCCTCCACCTCCTCGGGCTACTCCTCCATGTTATCCTGGCGGGCTCCCCAATCCGATCTGCCTTTGATGTGACACTGCATGCTCACCCACGTCGTTGATCTTGGCAACTCGTCTGGGCCCGGGCATCGCTACTGCATGCCAGCGCGTGGAAGCGCGCATGCGCGATGGTGTGCGAGCGCCACAGTATGCATGCACACCTGCAAGCGCACATGCACCACATACTCCTCCGCTTCCTCTTCCTCCCCCGCGTCCTCCTTATTGCCCTCCCTTCCTCCCACCTTCCCGCTCTCAACAGACCGTCAGGGTTCAACAAATTATGAACGGAGTGCCTGGAAGCCGTAAGAAATGGTGACGCAAATATGCGGATCCTGTTCGAGCATCGCGTGATCAAAACATGTTTCCCGAAACGCACCACCATGCGAAAATACTTGAGGCGACCTCCAACGAAAACCACGAACATCATTGCTTGACGACTTCGTCCACTGTTCAATACGCCGTCAGGCATGTTTCCAATTCTCGTAGCAATCATCCACCATGGATGCAGCTTTCGCGAAACAGCTCTGTTATAACAGTTTCTGTGCCACCTGAACATCAAGGACGTGTTCAAGAAACTTCTTCCTGTAGACAGAGCCGAACCTGCAGTTCAGCCCTACAGTCGGGGCGTTGATCTAATGAACCTGAAATAAGGACCGAGGCACTTGATCCCAGAAGTTAAGCTTGGATTTCCCAGCGGAAACATCAGGAAAACCCAAGCCAAAATGCAAAACAATCAAGGAACGCCGAGCCCCTCCCCAACGAGAAGGGTTCCTTCTTCAGCGCCCTGACTGTACTCCCTGGGGCCAATGCTTTCGCCCCAGATGCATGTCTGGTTGCCCCGGGGCCCAGAAGCGGGACCCGGATGCGGGAGTCTGCAGAGAACCCCAACTAGAAAGACGGATCGTCAGAGGTCTGAGGGGATCCTCCTCCTCCTCCTCCTCCTCCACCTCCTCCTCCACTTCCTCCTCCTCCTCCTCATCCACTTCCTCCTCCTCCTCCTCCCTCTCCTGTTTCTGCTCTTCACCGCTCCTCCTCCTCCTCCTCCGCCTCCTCCTCCGCCTCCTCCTCCGCCTCCTCCTCCTCATCCTCCTCCCCACCTTCCCTGTGTAAATGGAGGAGGGGCGGAGGGAGGGGAGCAGGAGAAGCAGGACCGAGGACGTGAGCGGGAGGGAGGGAGGGAGCCGAGCCCGGTGGTCCCCGGGGGCTCCTTGCGGATGGTGAAGAACTGCAGCACGAGGTCCGTGGCGAACGCGACGTCGATGAAGTGGTTGATGACGAACAGCCCGTCGAAGTTCACCTCTAGGAAGGCCTGGGGGGGGGGCGAGGGGCGCGCAGAGGAGCAAGTGTGTGGATAAGGGGGGGAGCGAGCGAGAGAGAGAGAGAGGAGAAGGAGAGAGAGGAGAAGGAGAGAGAGAGAAGGAGAGAGAGAGAGAGAGAGAGAGAGATAGAGATAGGAGAAGGAGGGTGGTGGCGAGGATTCCTACCAGGACGACGGTGAGGATGGCGATGGGATGGCGGCGGCTTCCTCGGAGAGCAGGTCGGCGGCTTCAATTTATTGGACAATCGAGAAGCAGTGCTGGCTCCCTGGCTGATCGCGCAGGAGGATGAGGATGAATCCACCGACCCTGTCGGCGTGTGTAAGGGACTTGTCTGTTCGAGTCGTCGTCTCCGTCGGTCGTCGTCTGCGTCGTCCCTTTCCCTGCACCCTCCTCCCCAAGAAGGCACCCACTCGCCAAACGATCGGTCCAAAACGCCTTCACGCCCTCCAGACTGGCCAAGAAGCCTCCAAGTCGCCCTAAGGAGCCTCCAAGAGCACTCCCGAGAGGCAAACTTAATTCCCGACCTAGGCTCTGCCTAGAAGGGTTCTTACTCTCTTTGCTTAATGGGCCGGGCAGTGGGAACCGGCCCGGGCGGTTCCCCCAGTATCCGCCCCGCGGTTCCTCCAGTTACGTCCCCTTAGCTTAGCGTTGCTTATCTCATCTTAGCTTAGCTTAGCCCCTAGGTTCTATCAACCGTCGTGTGAATTCGTCGTCGTCGTCGGTCGTCGTCGTCGGTCGTCGTCGTCGTCGTCGTCGTCGTCGTCGTCGTCGTCACCCCCGCCTAGAGCAAACAAAAATTATCCCAGTGCGACCCTACCTAGGAGTTGGAGCCCCTAGGAAAGCAGCATTAGTAGTAACAGTAAAGCTAAGCTAAAGCTAAGAAACAGCTAAGCTGAAGCTAAGCTAAAGCTAAGCTAAAGCTAAGCTAAAGCTAAGCTAAAGCTAAGCTAAGGCTAAGCTAAAGCTAAGCTAAAGCTAAGCTAAAGCTAAAGCTAAGCTAAAGCTAAGCTAACACTAAGTTAAAGCTAAGCTAAAGCTACGCTGGAGCTAAGCTGAAGCTAAGCTAAAGCTAAAGCTAAGCTGAAGCTAAGCTGAAACCAAGCTAAAGCTAAGCTGAAGCTAAGCTAGAGCTAAGCTAAAGCTAAGCTGAAGCTAAGCTGACGCTGAGCTAGAGCTAAGCTAAAGCTAAGCTGAAGCTAAGCTAAAGCTAAGCTAAAGCTAAGCTAGAGCTAAGCTAAAGCTAAGCTAAAGCTAAGCTAAAGCTAAGCTAGAGCTAAGCTAAAGCTAATCTAGAGCTAAACTGAAGCTAAGCTAACGCTAAGCTAGAGCTAAGCTAAAGCGTAGCTAAAGCTAAGCTGAAGCTAAGCTAGAGCTAAGCTAGAGCTAAGCTGAAGCTAAGCTGAAGCTAGGCTAGAGCTAAGCAAATCTAAGCTAGAGCTAAGCTGAAGCTAAGCTAAAGCTAAGTTAAAGCTAAGCTGAAGCTAAGCTGAAGCTAAGCTAAATCTAAGCTAAAGCTAAGCTGAAACTAAGCTAAAGCTAAGCTCAAGCTAAGCTAAAGCTAAGCTGAAGCTAAGCTAAGCTGGGTGAACCCAGGGGGCGCAACTGGGGGAACCGCGGGGCGGGGACTGGGGGAACCGCCCGGGGCGCTTTCCACTGCCCGGCCCCTTTAAGCTAGAGAGTAAGAACCCTTCTAGGCAGAGCCTAGGTAGGGAAAAACGGATACGTGGGCGACGCCGCCGCTGCCGCCACTGCCGCCGCTGCCACCTGCTCCTCCTCGTCATCCTCACCGTCATCCAGCTCCTTGTCCTCCTGCCCCGGATCTGTGGGTGTATTTTGTGGCGCTCGTGTGTGCCAACCGCGTTGCCAGTTTAGTTTTCTGTTCGGGTAATTAGCATGGGTGTAATTCCCTACCTAGGCTCTGCCTAGAGGGTTAGTTTAGCTTAGCTTAGCCTAGCTAAGCTTAGCTTAGCATAGCGCAGCGCTGCATTAGCATAGCATAGCATAGCATAACACGGCCAAGCATAGCATAGCATAGCATAGCATAGCGCAGCATCGCATAGCATAGCATAGCGTAACATAGCATAGCATAGTATATCATATAGCAGTATAAAATAACATATCATAGTATATCATATTATAGTATAACATAACGCAGTTAGCATATCATAGCATAGCATAGCTTAGCATAGCACAGCGCAGCATGCCATAGCACAGCTTAGCATAACATATCATAGCATAGCAAAGCATTGCGCATTATAACATAGCATAGCATAGCATCTCATAACATAGCATAGCGCAACGTAACATGGCATAGCATAACATAGCATAGCATGTCAACTAATGCTGCTTTCCTAGGGGCTCCAACTTCTAGGTAGGGTCGCACTGGGGTAATTGATGTTCCTCGAGTTTCAAGCATTTGGGCGTTCTCGACTTTTCCCCTACTCACTGCTCCAAGACGGCCCAAGAGGCTCCCAAGATCGCCCGAAGACGGCCCACGAGGTCTTCAAGAGGGCCCCAGAACAGCCCAAGATGATCCCAAGACAACCTAAAACGCCTCCAAGACGGCCCAAGACGCCCCCAAGACGGCTCCAAGAGCATGCCCAGACGGGGGACCCGAGCGGACATTCCGAGCCCTCGGCCTGGAAAGGCTCCCAGGAGGCCCCAAGAGGTTCCAAAGAGGTCCCCAAGATGTCCCAAGAGGCACACACATTCCTTCCTAGAGGCCTCCGAAAGCCTTCCGAAGAGACCTCAGACGCATCCCAGATGACTCTGGCCTGCGTCAACGTCGTCGTCGTCGCCGCCGCCGCCATTGTCGTCGACGTCCCCCGTCGGCGGCACCGGCCGTAAGGCCTTCGTAATAGTAGAATATATGAAGATGGCGCGCTGGGGGATGGCAGGCAGCGAGGGGCGGAGTGGAAAATAATTGCGCTGATGCTGCGACGGAGGTTCGAAGATGAGGGTCGCAGATTGAGGCTTCTGTGTGTTTCGGGTTCCTGTGTGGGTGGGACTTGAGACCCCTCTGGAGTCATCCTCCCACTCCTCCCACTCCTCGTCTCTCCTCCTCGCCCCTCTCCCTGGCTCCGCCGCTTCCCATTATCTTCCTCCCTCCTCCTTCTCCGCCTCCTCCGCCGCCTCCTCCTTCTCCTCTTCCTCCTCCGCTCGCCCCCACTCCGCCCCATCACCTCCTTTGTCTCGACGCAGTGCCCGGGCCAGATGGAGGAGGAGGAGGAGGAGGAGGAGGAGGAGGAGGAGGAGGAGGAGGAGGAGGAGGAGGAGGGAGGGGAGGAGGGAGGGGGGAGGAGGAGGGAGGGGGGAGGGGGGGGGAGGAGGAGGAGGGAGGTGGAGGAGGAGGAGGAGGAGGAGGAGGAGGAGGAGGAGGAGGAGGAGGAGGAGGAGGAAGAGGAGGAGGAGGAGGAGGAGGAGGAGGAGGAGGAGGAGAGGTGGAGGAGGGAGGGGGGAGGAGGAGGAGGGAGGGGAGGAGGAGGAGGAGGGGAGGAGGAGGAGGAGAGGAGGAGGAGGAGGAAGAGGAGGAGGAGGAGGAGGGAGGAGGGGGGAGGAGGGAGGGGGGAGGAGGCTCCTCCTTGCAGAACAGAGCTGGGGGAGCCGAAGGGCACACGGCCTCCGCCAGGCCCTCTGACAGGGACCCGCCGCGCCTGGCGACCGGGCGAGGAGCCTCTCGGGGGGCGTCCATCGGGGGGCGGCCTCTCGGGGGCGGCCGGGCCTCCAGCGTCGCGCGGCACTGGCAGGCGGATCTGCCAGAGGTCCCTGGCCTTTCTGCTCACCCTCCTCCTCCTCTCCTCCTCCCTCCTCCTCCCCTCCTCTCCTCCTCCTCCTCCTCCTCCTCCTCCTCCTCCCCCCCGGAGGGACACCCCTCCTCCTCCTCCTCCTCCTCCTCCCCCCCGGAGGGGGGACCGCCATAAGTGGCCTGTCGGGGCACAAGCGCCCCCTGGCGGAGGCGGGGACCGCTGGGCCTTCGGGGCACAAGCCTCCGCACCTGGGATGCCCCCCAAAGCGGGGTCCCCTTCCCAGGGGGCCCCCCGTCACGCAGTCTCCCACGTGAGCCTGGCTTCCCAGCCAGGTGTCCCCCGTGGGAGTCGTGTGCCAGGGGGTCCGTCTCCCCCCGTCGTGTCGTCGCCGTCGCTGTCGCGTCTGTCGTGTCGTGGCGGGCCCCTGGGGTGGGTGGCTTGGTTTGGTGTTGCCTGGCCCCTGCCCGTTCTGTCGGTGATCGGGTGCTTCCGGCCGGCAAATCGGGTCGGGAAAGCTGGCTTGCCATTCCATGCCGCCCGCTTGCGGGGGGCCCGCCCGCGCCGTGAGCGCCCCGCGGCCCACGGCGCGCCGCGGCCGCGGCGGCGCGCGCGGCGCCCCTGGGCATGCTCGCCCGCGCCATGTTCGGCGTCTTGTTTTACCCCTTGCGGGCAAAAAACAAAAAAAAACCTCCTCCTTCTCCTCCTCCTCCTCCTCCTCCTCCTCCGCCTCCTCCTCCTCCTCGGCCTGTTCCCTCCTCCCCGTCCCATTCCCCCTCCCTTCCCTATCAGCACACAACAGCCAAGCGCCGATGACTCCACGAGCTCTCGGACCGCAGGCCGACAACAGTGCTGCCACGCAGCATGCCTCGGAGGAGCGGCTGGCCAGCAACGAAGACGGCACAGGGAAGAAGACGATACAGGGAGGCACAAGCGGAATGATGCTCGCCACTTTCGGCCTCGCGGTGCCGCTGTCGGGCTCTGGGGCCGGTCGCAGAAACAGGGCGAGAAGCCGGTCCTCCCGAGAGGAGGAGGAGGAGGAGGAGGAGGAGGAGGAGGGAGGAGGAGGAGGAGGAGGAGGAGGAGGAGGAGGAGGAGGAGGATGGGGGGCCCGGCCTTGGCCCCCAGGGTGGCACCCCAGGATCGGGGGCGGCCAGGGTCGCGCGTCGATCTTTCGGCGAGGCGTCGCCGATTCCAGGTCGATGTTCCCCCCCTCCCCCCTCCCTCCTCCTCCTCCTCCTCCTCCTCCTCCTCCTCCTCCCCCTCCTCCTCCTCCTCCTCCTCGAGACCCCGAGGGCCCGCATACACTGAATGAACAGGGGGCGCAACGCTGCGTGGGATGTGCACGTGGCCCAGGGGCCCGGCGCGGCGCTGCTCTGCCAGAAGGTGTGGAGCGGACTGGATACGAGGTTCGAGGTGTTCGGATGCCTTTACGGCAGGCTCGTGTCGTGTCGACCCTGGCGATGGCTCCCGACACCGCGGGAGTCGTTCAAAGCTGAACGGTCCGCCGTTTGGGAGACGCCATATCGTTCACCATCGGCCGATTCTGGGTCGCCGGCGGCGTTCAACCTTGAACACCGCCGGCGGGGTCGCCGCCGGTCGACACGACGCGGACCTGCCGTACTCGTGCGGAGCCCTTGATCGAGGAGGAGGAGGAGGAGGAGGAGGAGGAGGAGGACTCTGCTTCCTCCGCCCTCCTCCTCGGGCCTGAGCTCTGCTCCCTCGACTGCCCTTGGCACGCTGCTGGCTTTGTATGATCCTCCGTCTTTGCGTCGGGCTTCGCGTAAAAGGGGGACGATACAGGAGTGGGGACAAAGTCCACTTCTCGGGCCCCAAACGCCACCTTCTGGTCCCTAAAGGGACCCTTCGGGGACCTTAAAGGGCCCCTTTTCTGCAGCCCTCGCTTCCCCCCCCCCCACGCGACGCCAAAGTACGTTGGACCAAGTTCAGCTGCCAGGCTGCAGCGTGCATCGGGTGTGAGAAAAAATTGCCGACTTAGGCGAAGCGAGCAGCACAAACTTAAGCCGCGGACTGATGCGGACACGGTTGTGCAAAGAGAACTGAAAAGGCTGGTGGCCACACTGGGCAAGAGTAGCCTAGTCCACGGCAGTGCAGAGTAGGGAGGAGGATACAAGGGAGGATCTTCCTCCTCCTCTTCCCCCTCTTCCTGCTCTTTGTCCTCCTCCCGAGGGGGAGGGGCAGACCGTCTCGAAGGGGGCAAGGATGGCCACGATGACCAGCAGCACGGCTATGAAGATGTCCCACCTGGCAGCGCGCCGTCGTCACCATTTTGTCCAATCCTCCTCCTCCTCCTCCTCCTCCTCCTCCTCCTCCTCCTCCCTTTCCTCCTCCTCCCCTTCCTCCTCCTCCTCCCCCTCCTCATTCCTCAGTCCTCCTTCGCCCTCCCTCCTCGATCTCCTGCTTCTGGTGGCTCGAACATCGAGGCAGCTGTCGTGTTCTGCATCCTGGGTCTCTGGACCCCGGCTTCGGGCACTGAGGCGATCAAAAACTGTCCACGATGAAGAGCCAGCCCTACGGAAAGGGTCGAGATGTCCATGGCCCACGTCTCAAACAAAATAACTAATATCCGCTGGATGCCTGCCCAGACCTCGGGCGTCTCGAAAAAATCGAGACGGAGGTTTCTCATCGTTTTCGACCTCTCGGGGCCCTCGCCGGGCCTCGGGACCGTCAAAAAACGACTCGGGATGAAAAACCGGTCCCGGGGAAGTGGTCGGGAGGTCGGGGGCCCACGTCTCGAAAAAATCGAGACGTCGGATCTCTGGGTGGGTCATCCTTCTTGGATGCTCGCTCTGGGGACCTTCCTGGAGCCACTCGCTCCGCTAATGACTCATGCGTCGATGCTGCGTCAGACATCCGCCGCCTTGAGTCGAACTTGAGTCAAGCTAAGTCCCAACTAGAATCGGACTAGATTCGCACTGAGATCGAACAGATCCGTTAATTAGTGAGGTGGGCCCCAAGAAGGTCCCCGAAACGAGCGTCTAACTCTGCTCCTTCTCTTCCTCCGCCTCCTCCTCCTCATGCTCATCCTCTGCCCTGAGGTCTCTGGGGATCTCCAGGGGCCCACGGAGGTATCCCCCCGAGCTCCCGGGACCGACGGGGCCACGTCCGCCCCGAGATCCTCCCGAATCCTCGGCGCCCCTGGCTCCTCTCCCAGGAAGGGGTGGAGGAGGGATCCCCCCCCTTCTCATGTACAGTGGAGGCCCCTCCGCAAGAAACCTTCCACAAGAAACCCAACCCTGAGACCACAGGACGTCCATTGGTTTTTGATATGGGAACGTCACGCTTTCCACAGCAAAACCATCGAAACCCAAGAAACCCAAGGCACCCTGGAGGCAAGCAGGGTGTTTCTTGGCATGGGTCTCCACTGTATGAGACGCGACCAGGGCGAGGACAGCATCGGACGAGCTCCACGCTGACGGCTCCGAGAATCCGGCGGCTCTGGAAGGATGCCTTTCGTTCGGGCGCCACGGGGGTTCTCTCTCTCTCGACGCGCTCCACAGAGCGCGCTCAGGCACGCATTCGCCCCCGTCCTAGCCCCGTCCGAATCTACATCCTCCTCCTCCTCCTCCTCCTCCTCCTGCTCCTCCTTCTGCTCTCTCCCTCCTCCTCCTCCTCCTCCTCCTCCTCCTCCTCCTCCTCCTCCTCCTCCTCCTGCTCCTCCTTCTGCTCTCCTCCTCCTCCTCCTCCTCCTCCTGCTCTCTCATCCTCCGCCTTTCCCCGCCACCCCCTCCTTCTCCAACCTCATCCTCCTCCCTGCGACGCAGGATGTCTTGGTAATAGCAATAGTGCTGGTAGTAGCAGTGCTGGCAGCTGAAATGGTAGTACCGACAGAAGCGAGGACGACGACGACCAGCGGCGGCGTAGACAACATCACCAACGACGACGACGACGACGACGACGACTTGCCGCGGCGACGGCAATGACGACTGGCGGCGGCGCCGACGACAACGACGACCGACGAAGGCGGCAATGACGACGACGACGTACAGTGGCGGCGGCGACGTCAACGACGACGACCAGTGGCGGCGTAGACAACATCACCAACGACGACGACGACGACGACTTGCCGCGGCGACGGCAATGACGACTGGCGGCGGCGCCGACGACAACGACGACCGGCGAAGGCGGCAATGACGACGACGTCGTACAGCGGCGGCGGCGACGTCAACGGCGACGACCAGTGGCGGCGACAAGAACAACCACAACAACAACAACAACACCACCACCAACAACACCAACCACAACAGCAACAACAACAAGACTGCTCGCTCTTATCTGCTCGCGTGCCATGCAACACGTATACCCCAAACCATCGATACCCGCCCTCTTCGTCTTCGATCGTACGCCCTTAGTGGGTTATCTTTCTTACCTGCAGCGTGTAATCCATGCAGCCACTACGGCAGGGGAAGAGATGACGGATGGGAGAAAGGGACGGGGGGGAGGGAGGAGGATGGAGCACGAGAGAGAGAGAGAGAGAGTAGCAGGAAGGGGGCCTAGGACCAGAACACACGTGACAGAACCAGACGGGCCCATCGGGCGGGCAGACCCTCACAGGCAGGACGGGAAGGCGGGCCCAGGCAGCCCGCGGGTGGCTGAAGCGTGCGTCCTGCAGGAATCGCGAGTCTCGAGCGGTAGCGCGATTCCCAGGTAGATCGTGAGCCATGCCGAAGCGGGAGCGTGACTCCTGAGCGTCGAGGGCGCAGAGGCAGCGGTGGGCCTGCGGGCGGCGTGCCACGGCCTCTGTGGGCTTACTCGGGGCCTCTGCGGGCCGTGCTGTGGGCCTCAGTGGGCAGCGCGCCGGAGCCTCTGTGGGCGCGCTCGGGGCCTCTGTGAGCCGGGGCCTCTGTGGGCGCGCTTGGGGCCTCCGTGGGCTGTTTCCGAGGGCCTCGGCGGGCAGCGTGCTGGAGCATTTGGAAGCGTGCTGGGGCCGCTGTGGGCGCGCTTGGAGTCTCTGTGGGCTGCGTCCGAAGGCCTCAGTGAGCAGCGCGCTGGGGCCTCTGTGGTTCGGGGGCCTCTCTGGCCAGGGCGTCGACGGGTCAGTTGCGAGGGCGTGTCGAGCGGGAGCCCCTGTCGTCACAGGTGGTCCTCTGGTGCCGAACGGGCGAGGGCCCTTGTCGTCGTGGCTGGGCCTCCACCAACTTTTTTGACTTACGAGAACGCCTCGAACGAGAGCGCCGTTCCTGAGATCGAGGGCCTCTCTGGCCAAAGGCTCTCGAACTACATATTGAGAAGTATCGAACGGGAGCCCTTGTCGCCGTGTCTGGGTCTCCACCAGCTTGCCTGATTTTTTTAAACAAAAAAACAACTCGAGCGAGAGCGCCGTTCGTGAGTTCGAGGGCCTCCCTGGCCAGGGGCTCTCGGAATAAATCGTCAAGAAATATCAAACGGAAGCACTTGTCGTCGTGGCTGGGCCTCCGCCAACTTGACTGAACTGCAAGCAAGGAGGTCTCAAGCGAGAGCGCCGTTCCTGAGTTCGAGGGCCTCCCTGGCCAGGGTGCCTCGGGGTGTATTGTAAGGCAGTATCGAGCGAGAGCACTTGTCGTCGTTGCTGGGCCTCCGCCAACTTGATTGAACTGTGAGGGCGTCTCAGGCGAGAGCGTCGTTCCTGAGTTCGGGGTCCTCTCTGGCCAGGGTGTCTAGGAGGAAGTCGTGAGGAAGCATCGAAGCGAAAAACGTTGTGGTCTCAGCCAGGCCTGCAACAACATATACTTACAATGAAACCAACACTTTATCGGGAACGTCGTTTTCATGGAAAATGCAGCCGGCGTCTAGGCGAAAGCGCGCGAAACCGTTTCCGGAGATCTAGAAAAAGTATTCTCTACAAATGATTACTCAACAACAACAACAATAATCATTATGAGACTGTTCGCTCATATCTGCTCGCGTGCCAGTCAACACGGAACCCGACACCCATCCTTTTCGTATTCGATTGTATCCCCTTGGGGATACATCTTTATTACCTGCAACGTGCTTTCCATGCAGCCACTACGGCAGGGGAAGAGATGACGGATGGAAGAAAGGGACAAGGGGGAGGGAGGAGAATGAAGCACAAGAGAGTAGCAGGAGAGGGGCTAGGAGCAGAAAACACATGGCAGAACCAGACGGGCAGATCGGGCGGGTAGACCCTAACAGGCGGGCCCAGGCGGACAGGTCGAGCAGGCGGGTTGCTCAAGCGTGCGTCCTGCAGGAATCGCGAGGAAGCCTTGAGCGACAGCGCGATTCGAAGATAAACCTCGTAAGGAAATCCAAAGCGAGAGTGTGATTCCTGAGTGTCGAGGGCGCGGCGCCTGAAGAAATTGCGAGGAAATCCCAACCGACAGCGCGATTCCTGAGTGTCGAAAGCGCGACGCCTGAAAGAATTACAAGGAGGTCACAGGCAAAAGCACAATGTTTTCGATAAATTGCAAGGAAATCCCCAGCGAGAGCGCGAGTCTTCAATACATAATAAAGAAAAAACAAATCGGAGCCGTTGTTGTTGTAAACCACGGGCCTGGGGCACAGTTTGAGCAGGAAAACCTTCACCGGTAAATAACAGAGCGAGCCCCCAGTAGATGCACTTCAATGGCAAAAAAAAAAAACATGTTACGCGACTGCGTGAGTCCTGCATTATTCACCAGGAAGTCTCGGGCGAGAGTGCGATTCCAAAGAACATTCTTAGGAAGTTCCGAGCGAGAGCGCGATTTCTGAATGGCGAGGGTGTGGCGCCTGAAAAATTGCGAGGAAGTCACAGTCAGAGCGCGATGTTTTATTACTTGCAAGGAAGTCCTTCGCCAGAGTGCGATTCTTCAATACATCGCAAGGAAATATCAGGCGGGAGCCGCTGTTGTCGTAAAGCGGGGGCCAGGGGGGTGGACTCAAAACATGTATCTATTCAGCGGCGGTGGCTTCTCATGGTTTCTGATGCAAGAAAGCCATACGCAACAACAACCAGTAAGAACGCACGCGTTCAGGATGCCAGGGCAGCCTTTGTCAGAGCGTCGTCGTCGCCCGTCGTGCTCACCCCCCTTCTCTGCCCCCACATCCTTTCTCCTCCCTCCTCTTCCTCCGCGTCCTCCTCCTCCTCCTCCTCCCTCCTCCCTCTTCCTCCCCCTTTTCCCTCTGCTGCTCCTCTTGCTGTTCACTACTATCGGGTCCAACCATGGCCTCGCGAGGCCTCCCAATGGCCAGAACAGATCCGTATGTATGTACAAATGACATGTAAAACGCAAGACCGATAATCTGTGCCAAACAATGCAAGAGCCTCA